GCTATAGTTATAAAATAGACAGCATTGACCACCTTTGGCTATAGTTAAGCCTTGTTGAGTACATTCACATCGTTGAGCAACTCTTCTCCAGAACATTCTCATCGTGCAGAACTGAATTCGCTGTGCTCATTAAGTACCAGAACTTATCTTTAGGCACAGAGACTTAACTACTTTAGATGCTAAGGGAGGAACTGACATAATGCAGGAGATTGAAGGTGTAGGAAAAGTGAAATTGTTTTCTAAGAACTTAACGTTAAAAATACATTTCCTCGGTAAAAGGAGGACAGGTATATTTAACTCCAGCAGCTTTCTTGAGTGCCTTTCTTACTTTCTATTGGAAAAAAGAAACAATAAAATTATCACGATGAATTTTTTTTTTGTCCAGAAGTAAAATTGAAATTTAAAGGAGTTTTCAGGCCTTTGAACAGGCGCTTGTATCCTTGTCTCTTATGTAAGCTACTCTCATGTGATTGGGAGGTAACCCATGCTCAGCTCTAATGTTTTCCTGCTACTGTGAATACCGAGCAGCAGGATTAAACAGCACAGAGCACCCTACCACCAAAACCATTAACTGTGGTCAGGAGGTCTGTGTAGGATGAGTTAGTTTGGTATGAAGGCTCCTTGTATTCAATTCAGGCGAACTTCAGTTTTTAAAAACAAATTATGTGTGGGAGCGTGGGAGAAGGGTATGTGTATTTGGGGGGGCATGTATGGAGGTCAGAGGGCAGTTTGTGGGAATCTGTCCTCTCCTTCCATCCACCAAGGATTCTGAAGATTGAACAAAGGCTGTCAGGCTCCAAAGGCACTTTTATCTACTGAGTCATCTCTCCAGGATGAACTTCATATATTTTATAGAGCACACATGCAGTCATAAAGCCACAAAGATTGCTGTCATTTGAAAATATCTCATTATGTCACTTAAAAACAATGTTATTATCATAGGACAATATCAAACCAATATTTATTATTAGAAATGCAGTTTAAACTGGCTCTAGAGAAAGCGTTTATTAGATCTTTAGTGTAATTAATTATTCTTCGAAATGAAAAATCCTATAGTTATGCACCATTTAGTTAGATACAGAAAGTCTTGCTATACAGCTCTGGATTTATGAAAATAATCCAGAATTCAGTAAGCATGTGCTGTGTGGCAGCCACTGCATTGTGCAAGGCAGCAAACATCTAAATTGAAAAGTCAGCTCCGCCCCTTTACAAATACACCAAATGTGTAGCAGAGAATGCATTTCCTTCAAAGCAATCTTCAGTGGTCACAAAGTAAATGATTTTGGGCAGAACTATGTCTAGTGGTATAATTAGCTCCAGACACGAATTCTCTGCTATAAAGGAAATACAGAAAAAACAAACAAATAACAAACAACAACAAAATCCTCATGAACTAGGAATCAGAAAGCTGTCTCTAGCTACAGTCCAGCATTGTTGCTGTTCATTCACGAATTCAGCCACTCACTCTGTTTACTGAGTACCAGCACTGTGGGAGAATCTGGTGTTGGAAGCATGGTGGCAAACAGGAGAGGTCGGCTCCATGCTCTGTGGCATGCGAATAAGAGCAGGTGGCTTAGTTTTCCTGCTGTCCTCTTGGGTTGATGGGATGCCTCAGGTCTTCAAACCTCAAAGCTAAGGTTACAGCAGCCTTATAAGGAGAAGCTGTCCAAGTGGCTTTGGGATTTGAGGACTTAAACCTTCCTTCCTGAGGGCCAGCCCTCATTTCAAACCTCTTCTTTTCAAAACAAGTTCATAGTTCACCTGCATGTGGGTCACCTTGCACAAAGCCTGGGCGCGGCTATCCGTGTTCTAGGGCTTTGGAGGTAGGAATTCAAAGCTGGAGAAAAGTGGATGACGTTTGTCATTTCACAGCTGACGAGAGGTATACATACCCAGTGAGCAATTTACTCAGTGGTCCCATAAGGCTTTCCAGACAACTGTGTGGCTTTGCCTGCAGCTTCCCCCACTGCCCGCGTTCTTCTCTGACGAAACTGAAAATGATTGCTCATCAGGGGCTGAGGAGAGATCAGCTTTAAGCCGCGGTAGGAAGAGCTCTTCCTCCCACAGGTGTTGACTATCAAGGCTACCAACATTATAATCGCAGGACCCGGAGCTTTTCCTCCTTATTTTTTCCTCTTTTTTTCTTTTTCTTTTTTTGGTAGTAGTAGAAATGTCTTTTTCAAAAGAGAAAACTAGATTTTCTGTAACAGAGAGGGTGAGAGATATATGAAGGAGAAAAAGAGGAAGGAAGGGGAAGGAGAGTGAGTTTTGAACACACACTGCCTCAAGCCTAGGAAAAAGAAATTACAACCTCCATGAGCTTTCGAGTAACTAGGGAACTGAACTGCCCGGCTCCTCTCCCAATCTGTATTTCTAGTCAATGAAAAAGACATCGGGTTTGAGGTTCCTTCCGAAACCGGGCTGGCTAATTTAGCCCCTCCCACAAGCCCTAGGGTCTGTTATATCTCTGAACCGTGAGTACCTCTCTCACAGAAAGCCACCACAGCAAGCAGAGGCAGCAAAAACAAAAACACCCAAGACAAACGAGGGAAGAGGAAGAAAACAAAAAGCTGCCCCTTATGGAAGATATAAAGGGTAAGACAAGAACTGATTTGATCCAAACCCTTCAGGGGAAAAAAAAAGCCCAGACCCAAAGCAAATACTTGAAAGAGCCAAAGGCAAAGCGCCTGAATGAACTCTCCCTCTCTCCTGAGCGAGGCAGAGAAAGCTTTGGGAAGCAGACAGAGCTCAGGGTTGCAGTATTCTTGAGTAGGCTGGAGTCGATGAATATTCATAATTAATTGGTATGCAGATGTGTGTGTGTTTTTTTTTAAGCGGCAAGTGACTGTTTTTCAATCCTCTTGTATCTAAAGAGGCAGCTGCTTCATCTACAGTCTGGAGTCATCTAGTGTCGGTTTGGGTCCCTGGCTTGCAGATGTTGGGTTCTGCGTGTAGATTTGTTTTGTTCGAATTTCCTGCGTTCTTTCCTGCTGGGACATTAGCAAAGACTCTGCTCCTTCTCTGCGGGGAGTTGGACAGGCAAGTTAATGTGGCAAGAGGCTGTCACAACAGGACCCCAGAGTGCTTGTTGTAAAAATTCTGTAAGCTCCTTGAGCTGTGTGGGGGAGTGTGCGCGTCCCCGAGAGGGAGAAAGGGGTGGAGGGAAGAAAGGAAGAGTTCCTTTTAAAAGAGCAGGTCAGATCCGACTGACCACGTTAGATTTTGCCTACGAAACTACAAGGGCAGACTGGTTTGCACAAATGGTGTGCAGTCTCTGCCTTTTACCTCTTTTGGGCATTTTCTGCCAGGACGGAGAGCCAGCTGCTTGCCAGTCCTTGGGAGCCAGGAACAAAGGGGGAATGTAGGGTCGCGAACCTACTTCATCGCCAGCTTCTAACAGGCTCACAGATTTCTATCACATAGGATGCAGAGGGACTAGAGAACGAGCAAACAGATTTCTTCCTAAGTAAAGCAGACTAAAGCTGTGTGGGTTCACTAAGGCCTTATTTACTGTGTGCTGGGACCTGTGCTCCTTTTCCCATGCGTGCTTCGCAGCTTCCCTCTCGTCCATATAAGGTAAGTGATGTCCTTATCACCTCCATTTCCCCGGAGGATTCAGTGCAGGAACTAAGAACGGAACTCACCTTGGGATCCCGTACTTAGGAAGTGGCAACTGTGGACTCGGGCAAAGGGGAAGCCTGGATCACTGGACTCTTAGGCTTGTGAATCTCTGAAGCTGGTGGGGAGGAGACTGATGAAATCTAGTCTGTGAAGGAATTCCTATTTTGTAATGAAGTCTACACCACCAATCTCAGTCGGTGTTCATGGTCGTTCCTTATGGGAGAGAGGCAGACCTTGTCATTCTGTATTCTCTTTTACAAAAGAGAGGAGCTTGGAGGGGTTAGACTGTAGGAATCAAATGTCTAGATGTCAAGAAGTCTAGCTCTAACCAGAGCTCCTCTACTTCTGGTTTCTCTTCTGAACATGTGTCCCCACCCCCAGCTAGTACTCACCAAGCAACTTTCAGTTCCTCAGGGACCTGATCTTTCCTCCTGCTCAGTCAGCTGCAAGGCACTGTCCTCCATCTTGGAGGCCTAGCTGACCTTCATCCTGGAACCAGCCCACCTCTGTTTGGATTCCAGCTCCATCGTTGTTTTTTTTTTTTTTTTTTTTTTTTTGGTACTGTGAGCCTCAGCTTTCTCACCTGTGAAATGGAGAGATTAATACCTGCCTCAGAGGGTTATAAGGACCCAGTAATGACCTACACGAAGTTCCTAATGTAGACTGTGTGCTCAATAAATACAGACGGCTGCTCCCGGTCCTAGATTTTTCTTGAGTTATTGCTCTCTCTGTTAAGCCTTCTCCCATCCTTTGGCCTGGCTCGGGACCTGCCTTGACCACCTCATCAAGGTGGCACTCATCACACTCATTTTCCTTCTCTCTATGACGCTGTGCAGCCCGTAATGCTTAATTTCTGGATTCATCTTTGGATGTATGGTATCCAGTGCACCTTTTTTTTTTTTTTAAGTTTTAAAAGGAATAGCCACTTTGTTGTCCAGGCAGGCAGAGTGGTGGGAAAGAGGCCTCAGTCATGACAGAGGGCAGAAGGCAGCTGGGTACTCACAATGAAGCCTCAGAAGATGTGGTTCTGAAAGGCATCGAGGAAGAATACTGAGCTAGGTTACTGATCCAGTAAGAGCCACAAGACAAGTCTGTGGCCTGGGTTTGGGCTAGCAGTTTTACCACATGAGGTCCACAACTGGTCTCTGATGTCCTTATTATGAATCAGCACATAAGCCACAAGGACAAGTCCTTGAAGTTGACATCATCTCAGAGGAGATGGTGAGCTCTGCGGAGAGCGTGCTCTGTAGGCTTTTGCCCAAGTCCTTCTTGTCAGCCACAAGCACCTTGAGCTCCTGAGTGGGCACTCGGTCAGTATGTAAAACTCAACTAAAATTGTAGTTGATCTTCATTCCAGGGTCAGAGGGCTTAAAAGGAACCTTTGAATTAGTCACAGGGGTTCCCTCACTCTTGATGAATATAATTCATAAGCAGTCCACAGACATCGTTCTCTGTAGATACTCTGAAAAATGAAATGTCCTTCTCTAGGTTGATGGTCTTTTTTTTTTTTTAAGATTTATTTATTTATCATATGTGTGTGTGTGTGTTCTGTCTTCAGACACACCAGAAGAGGGAATCAAATTCCATTATAAATGGTTGTGAGCCACCATGTGGTTGCTGGGAACTGAATTCAGGAGTTCTGGAAGAGTAGCCAGTGCTCTTAATCACTGAGCCATCTCTCAAGGCCCTCGGCTGACGGTCTTAATTGATGTGACTTCACGCTAAGACGCCCGGTTTGTCCCATACAGCTCTGGATGAACTTCAACCTCTAGTCCCCACTCAGTCAGGGACCAAACTGGATATTTTTAGATGTGATACCTTTGCTGTCTCTGAACAAAGCATCTGTTTTGATAAATAGCATCTCTCTAGTCCCACTTTATAGAAATTTTGCTGTCTGAAGCAGTGTATTGTGGTAACAAAAGAAAATCAAACACTGAGTCTGGCCCTGGGTAAAATCATAATGTACATTGTTTGTTCCCAGCTCCCCCTCTCCCTTCCTCTTCCTGGCATACCTTCAAAGCAATTTGACAAATCTTGTTTGTCTGCCAGTTGTAAGTACCTATGCCAGCTCCTTGGGATATAAACAGTTTGCACATGATGTAGTAGGGAAAGGAGACATATGAAACCAATTCCAATAGAAGCCAGATTCTGTCGAGTGCTAATAATAGCTCGCATTGATTATCATGTGCCAGGCGCTGTAATGGTTCATGTATGTTGTCTCATGTAATCTTCACAACAACTCTTTATATTGATTTATGCATGTCACAGTTATAGAAGGGAGAGTCACTCAGCCAAAGTCACACGGCTTGGTAAGAGGCAGAGGGGACATTTTTGACCTTGTAGTCAGTCTGAAAGGCTTGAACTAACAAATGAGTCCTTCCTCCTGAGAGCCACAGACCAGTCCAAGGACAGTGCCACGAGGAACACAGCTCAGAGGAGTGAGTTCTCAGAACTCGTCTTAAAGAATGGGCTGCTTTCAGCTGGACTTACAAAGATAAGTAAAGTGCAGTGCCCACAGAAAGCCCCTTCCTTCCCCAGTCTACAGCACCAAAAGAACCTTTCTTTTTGCTAAAGCTGTGGCCTGGACTGAAGGGTAAAAAGCTCTTTTCCACGTTCTCAGCAGGATCTGTTTGCGTCTCATCCGGTAGATTTAAAGGCAGAATTGCACACTTGAGTCTTGACCATGAATTTGGGATTACCAGTCATGCAATTAAATAAACATTTACAGAGTGATCAGCTGCACATCAAATGATTTCCTTAATCATGATTTCCCTGGATAGTAATAGAGAAAGTGGTGAGGTATGTCTGGCAGTGTGAATTTGTATTGCTTCTCATTGGCTAAAGTACCTTTTCAGAGTCTTTCCTCTCCCTTGAGGTGTTATGGTTGCTTCTCTGTAATCAATAGTTGTGAACAAGGGATGAGTGTTTAATTCAGGTGTGCTGGCTCAGCCTGTATAGGGTGATGGCAAGGCGTGTGGAAAATTATGTAGAGTTTATTCCTTCAGATATTTTGAGGAGAGGCCAAAAAGCAAGAGTAGCCCTTGTGGTGAAGAATCATCAGACATTTTGATGATTTGACAGAAAAAAGAGAGGAGGCATAAGCTTTGTTTTTGTCATGTGTGCATGTGTGTGTGTGTGTCTATCTTTGTGTCTTTGTCTATGTATGTGTCTGTGTGTGCATACATGCAAGTGTGTCTCTATGTGTGTGTGTATTTCGGGACCATGTTTCTCAGACTTTAGACACATGCATCACTGAAGATCTTAACATTCAAAGTCTCTTTCAGAAGCTCTGGGGTGAGGCTAAGGTCATGCAGTTCTTCCACAGGCCAGGTAGTGACTGGCCTCTATGACCACCCTGACTGGAAGTGCTACATGCATGTCCATGGCCACGCATGTCTTAGTCTCTGCTTATTTTGGTACCAGTAGATCAGCCCCTCTCCTTCTCTACCCTCTCTCAGCTGTCATGTGGAGGCAATAATTGGCTATGCCATTGTAGGATATCAGGAAGCCTAGTTCATTTATACATGCAGAAAAATACATGCTCTATGACTGGAGTTTCTGGCCTCTAGTTTTCAATGATCTAGGAACAAGCATGTACCTTCAGCACACAGCCCACTGCAGAACAGAAAGGCCTTCTGTTAGAGTTCTTAAATATCTTCACCTTTAAAAAGAATTATCACTTCTAAGTGGTGTGTGTGTGTGTGTGTGTGTGTAGGTGTGTGCATGTGAGCACAGGTGCCCACAGAGGTCAGAGGCATTGGATCACCTGGAGCTGAAAGTCCAGGCAGTTGTGAGGCACTGACCCAGGTGCTGGGAGTGGAACTCAGCTCCTCTCCAAGAACAGCTCCTAAGAGCTCAGCCACCTCTCCAGCCCCTGTTTTCTACTTTTCTGTTTCCCCACTGCTCCCTCGTTCCCTAAGCTTCTCCCCTTTCAGCTTGAGCAGGGCTGGAAGCTCATGTGTGGCTGCCTGCGG